ACAGAGACAAAATTATGTTTTGTTTTTTTTTACCTAAATAATGATGTTAACATTATGACCACCTGTCTAATATGCCTTGCATGCTGCTAAGACAGCCAATAATATCTGTCTGCAGAACCACAGTTTCACACCAGCAGTTTCACTCCAGCAGCTTCACACCAGTGGCATTCAGCACACTTGTTTTGGTTTTTCTTAGCCAAATTTTAGGCTAATTGGCATTTCAGTTGTTTTATGTGGGTTTCCAGTACATTTGTGATAATTTTGCATTGGGTTAACGTTATATATTTTAAGCTTTAGCGCTAAAACAAACTTTGGTTTGAACACATATAGAGATTCACAGTGTAAATATTACACAAACTACAGCTGATGTGGCGGGTAAACTAATGGGTTATGTAGACATAGAGGTCAGTTTACTTAGCCTTAGTATGGGGGCTTTATGTGTACATTTACATTACATGTACAGAAATAAAACTTTACCTTAAGCAGCTTAAACTGAGCATAATATTGAGCTTTAAGCTAAACTTTAATATTTAAACATATCCCTGCTGAAAAAATCAATAGAAGCCATTCAGCGTTTCTTTTGGTTTCTGATGGTTTCGTAATGTGTTTTGTCTGATGGTTTAACCGGTAACCAGTGGTTGATTTGTATATTGGCAGCGGTCTCCCTTCCTGAATGGTAATATGCTTTGCGACACATACAACCAGCACAAACAGTCGCTGTTTACATCAGAGACGTTATAAATGAGGAGACCGGCCACTGGTTGAAATATGAATGGGATGCTCGTGCTGTCCTCTTGCGCATGCGCTCCACTGGCCTTAAACCACTGGAGTAAATCTGCAGGTGTAAATCTGCGGCTCTGTATTCAGAACCTTCTCAAGACAGCTTCGAACTGCCAAAGCTACTAGACCTCTGAAGGTGATATGTGGTCTCTGGCACCAAGATCGTAGCAGCAGATCCTTCAGGTCGCAGATTAAATGCTCCTCAAACCATGAATGATTGATGCAGTGTGGCAGGTGTACCCAGAGCATCACACTACCTCCACCGGCTTGTCTTCTTTCCAAAGTGCATCCTGGTGCCATCACTACCCCAGGTAAATGGCACACTGACTATGTGATGTAAGAGAGAATGGGACTCATCAGACCAGGCCGCCCATCCATTCCTTTGAGGTCCAGTTCCAACTCTCCTGTGCCCATTGTAGGTGCTCTCAGGGGTTAGCATAGGCACTATGAGTGGTCTGTAGCGATGTAGCACAGACCAGGTGAGACACACTGTGTATTGTGACATGTTCCTCTGTCATTAAAAATTTCAGTGTCTTGTGCCACAGTAGCCCTTCTTCATGCATTAATGAGCAATGGGTGCCCAACATCCTGTCACTGGTTTGTCTCTCCTCTGACCAGTCAGTAAGCACTCACCACCACTGACTGGGAGCACCATTTCGGAGCCTGGCCATTTCGGAGATGGTCATCTGGCCATAACGATTTGTCCCTAGTCAAAGTCGCCCTAGGTCTTCACACCTGCCCATTTCTCCGGCATTAAACACGTCAACTACGAGAACCGACTGTTCCTCTACCGAATATACCAGGCCTTGATATGCAGCATCGTTACGAGATCTTTTATTCTCTTCATCTGGTCATAATGTTTTGGCTCATCAATGTATATTTTTGGCTGATGCATTAGGAGCATTAAACCCTTTAAAAGGGCAGCGGCTGCCAGCAGGCCCAAAGATTTATTACACTCTTCTACACTCTCAGAAATAAAGGTAGTAAACTGTCACTGGGGCAGTGCCCCTCGTCACTGGGGTGGGTAATTGTTCTAAAATACATTGAAATGATATTTTTTTGATAAGTTGTACTGACTCCACACACCCCGTCTCGTCTCCAGGCTTTTTATTTTATTGTTTTGTTTTAAAACATTAGGTTATGAAAAGCTATCATTATGTACTTTTCACCTGGAAAAACTTACTTAAAGTTCACAATTGGACCTTAAAACCATTGATGTACCTTTGAGGGAACATTTACATTGTTTGTACCTTGATGAATGAAAAACGTACCTGAACAGAGCCTTTATTTCTAAGTGTTTAACCTCAACCAGAGCAGCTCAACCAGTTTGCATTGAAGTCCCTGTAGTTACTGAATAATAAGCCTTAGTAAGCAATAAACCTGGGATTTTTAAGGGGTCAAGCATTCAGAGGGATGGAGACGACATTAAAAAATGAGAAAAAGTTGGTTAGAGGGCTGAGCAGTAGGTACAGAAAGGCCGAGCGATGGAACCAACCGCTGTAACTTTTCCTACTCGCCTCTTATATTCGCTCAGTATTATTTTTCTGGTTTAAAGACTAGTAAAGCCCCTTTCAGATGATGTGTCTTGAAGGTGGAAGGAGCTTTTGAAAAACTGTTTGAAATGTTGTTTTTTTGTTGTTTTGGCTTGCTGGCAAATGCAGAAGGAAGCCAGATATAATTCATTCATTAGCTTCTACATCAATGCATATATTTACCTTTTGTTTGTATGATATATTTGTGAACTGCATGCTGGGTATTGTAGTGAGAGAACACAAACAGTGTATACAAAGTTGAAGAATGCGATGCTGTTTTACAGAATACTACATTACATTACAAGTAACATTATATCGCTGCTGTTGGAACAAAACCTCATATCTCCATTTTTGTCATTTTCCAGTTTTTGATATAATATGAAAACGCCTGTTGGCCTTTACATTACGCGTACATTTCTTAATAAAAGAACCAAAAGAAACAGTCCAAAATGACTTGATATGAGGTTTTGTTCTGACAGCAGTGAAATGCTAATGTAAGGCCAAAATGTGTTTCTGAAGGCAGCATTCTAGCTCGTTTTTCTTTTTTTTTGCACTACCTTTATCATGCAAGTGTTTTTAGCACCATTGCTGATTGTATCAATGTGGTAAAATTTTAGTTTTATTTTCCTGATGATTAAAAATTGAACTGCATGGGAATGAACCTCAAATGGCTGCGAACAGAAGCTAGATTCTGACTGTTTAGCTAGTTGCTAACTGTCTCCCACTTGCTCAGGAGATCCTTCTGTGAGACGCTGAGGCTGCTGACTTATTGACCGGTTATTTTTAGTGACATTAGGCGTTTTAATGGCTGTGGCCTTTTGATATCTAAATCTGCTCAGCAGTCAGAGAGGGAGAGAAGCTCGCCGGCCAATTAACGTGTCGATCAATACCGAGAAATGGAGCCGTGCTGTGATTGTGTGTGTGTACTACGTCCACCCAGCTTGTGGTCCACCTCTGGAGGTACAGTAAGGTCACTGCCCTCCTGCGAGCGTCTGCTGGTGACATTTACCCATTCACTTCATTATTCAACATAAAAAATATTGACGAATGGTGATGCATCTTGAACCATGCTCAGCTTCCTATGCTGTGGGTAAGAATTTGCCTGTCAATAGTTCATGCAGATCCTTTAGATTAGCGCCATGTTCATCATCCTTGTTGTGAAGAGCAGCTTTTGCCTTTGATTTCTTTTGTTATTGTTGAAGTCAGTCACTCAGGTGTTAATTAAAGGGCAAACTCCAATCATCAATATGTAAAGTCGTTCAGAGTGGTTTGGTGTGAAACGCTCTGTTCTAGACAAACTTACAGAGTCAGAACTGTTCACAGTGGCGGTGATAGTAACCAGACGTCCACCTCTAAAAGCTCCCTCACAAGACACTGTTACGTTAAATGGTTCCAAATACACTTCCTGGTGCTGGTCACATTGTTTTATGCTGTTTTGTTTGGGTAATAAAAAAATGGCTATTTACGTGTTGTAGTCATGGCGACCCCTGGTTTCTACCACCACCACTGTAAAGAAATCTGAGTCTGTAAGTTTCTCTTCAATCAACTATTTCACACCAAACCACTCTGAATGACTTTGTTCAAACCTCAACCACTGAATTATGCAGGAATTTTGAAAAAATTAGTGGAGTTCCCCTTTAAACACTGCAGTCCAGCACTGTAGGTGCTCACAGTGGAGGTTTGGCTTTGTTCCCAGGGGTCCACTTACAACATGTATATTAGTTTATGTCCCAAAAAAAGGTCAGAATTCATTCTTACATGATTTTGCAACTTGTCTTTATTCGTTTGGATTAAACAGGCTGTTTTTGTTACTGTGCCTGTTAAACTGAGATATGTAAATGAGCTCTGTGCTGATTGGCTGTGCCTCATTCAAAAAACAGTCTGGGCTGAAACACTCCTTGTAACTTCAATATGAAGGGGTGAAGTTAAACAGCTGTAAACGGCTGGTGAATATATGTGAATGAGTTGTGTTTTGTGACATCACAAAAACGATGATTTCAGCTCAAGCTTGGTTTCCATATTTGGGCCGTGGACCCAGCTGAAAAACCCAAAGAAACCATCTAGTGTTTCTGTTGGTTCCTGATGGTTTTTAATGTGTTTTGGCTTTTTAATGGGTTGATATGACAGTGTAATGGTTTAACAGGTGACCAATGGCTGATTGTAAATGCAGTTGATGTTTTTTTTAATGGGATCTATATCTGTTCCACAGGAAACTAGTGGTCCCTATTGGAAAACATAGAGCCAGTTACCATTAGAAAGCAAAAGCCTAATGGTTTCTAATGGTCCTTTTCAGTAGGGAAATGCCCGCTGTGTTTTAAAACTTCTCAAGGTTTACACACCATCAAACACAGAAGCACAGAAATTTCAGTTTTTTGGTGATATGTCCCTTTGAAGGCTATGTTACAGTTCTTACTGCGGCATCACACGCACATCCGCGCGCTTAAACGCCGCCTGTTTAACTGAAATAGTGCTTAGTCATTGTTTTATACACGGAAACCCTCGCGCTCCGGTGCGCTCTGCCGTGGAGAGGAGCTTCACCGGCGCGCGCAAAGGCGCGACTGCGCACGCGCGCCTCTCACAAACGCACAGACGCGCGCGCTCACACTCGCAGGCGGAGTGTTACCATGGTCCTCCTGCCGGCTCCGGCTCCCCGCTCGTGGCCCCGCTCGTGCTCCGGACCGCAGCACCATGCCCGGGGGGAAGCGCGGCCTCGTGGCGCCTCAGAACACCTTCCTGGAGAACATCGTGCGGCGCTCCAGCGGTGAGCATCTCCTCCTTTACTCCTCCTTTTCTCCTGCTTTTCTCCTCCACATCTCCTCCTCCTCCTCCTCTTTCACTCCTTAACCGCGCGCATCACTTTCCAGCGCGCGTTACGGGGGTTTCACCGGGAAAAGTTAATGACGCAGGGCGCGCGCTCAACAAATCGAGGGATTCTAGTCATAATAATAAGGTTAGCAAAGTTGGTACAGTCTTAAAACAGAGGGTTCTTCACGGGTTCTCCAGTAAAGGGAATGGTTCTATTTAAAACCATGAGTTCTATCTAGAACCATTTCATGCTCAAACGGTTCCTTGCTTGGTAAAATGGTTCTTCAGATTGATGGGAAGTTCTTCTATTATTGTCATCATAACAATAGCAGAACCCTTTTAGGTGCTATCTAGAACCATTTTCAAAAAAGTTGTATATAGAACCATATACAGCACATTCTCAATCGATCTATTTCACCATGCAAAGTACCATTTAAGCCTGAAATGGTTCTATACAGAACTCATGGTTCTGAAGAGAACCATTCCTTTTACTAAAGAACTTTGAAGAAATCTTTTTTTTAAAGTGTACAGAATCTTTTTTAAAAGGGTTCTATAGCACCGAAAAGGGTTCTTCTATTGTGACGATGTCAAGCTTGTAACAATAGCAGAACCCTTTTTGGTGCTATCTAGAACGCTAGAAAGGTTCTATATAGAACAGTATACAGCACCATTAATCTAGAGAGCCTTTTCATCATACAAAGAACACTTTAATCATAGAAAGGGTTTTTTGAGTGTTCATGGTTCTGTATGGAACTCTTGAAGAACCCTTATAATAATAATAATAATAATAATAATAATAGAATTAAGAATAATAATATATGTAACACTACTAACAACTAAGCATAATATTACTGCTAATTCTGCTGCATATAATCATATAATAATACATTTATAACAATGTTTACTACAGCTACTACTAATAATGATATTTCCAACCTATTATTTCTTTTGGAAAGAGTTCAGTCTGGTACTACTACTGTTAGAACCTCTACTACAACTAATAATAATAATGGAAAAATACTAGTAGTAACTTTAATAATATATAAATATATATATATATATATATATATATATATATATATATATATATATATTTTTTATTATTTTACATGTGTGTGTTTAATTATTATGGGTGTTTTAATAACCCAGAGAATGTTTATAATGGCCAAAACCCACCAACTAACAAATGGTGCAAATACCATAGAGAGCATTAAATACCAGTAAAGAAGGAGGGTGAATACAGGCCGGTACTGTAACTGCTGCTGCTTTATTTTTGTGTTTTTGTTCTGCATTTAGAACTGGAGGTTAAACATCTGCAGGTTCTGTGTGGGGAAATATTCACACTGTGGTTTTTACTCCCTCACTGGTTTAAAACACTCTCTGACTCCAGTTCCCTCTCAGAAAACGCAGCTTTTCCTTCAGGAACGCTCTGAAAAGAGAAATGAGAGCCTGTCAGTGATGATGATGAACAGGAGATCATCGCTGTCGCACTAGAATTTATTCACAGCTTAATTGCACACCACTAGAGGGCGCAGTTCTGCAGCGTTATTTTCCCCAGTCCCCAAGAACTGCCAAGCATCAGATAGGGGGATATAAGCCCCCCAGCACTGGGCTGTGGAGCAGGGGATCTGAGTTCTCTGGAGTGATGGGGCTCCATCCAATACCTTTAGGATGAGCTGATCATCCAACATCAGTACCTGACCTCACTAATGCTCAATCAAATCCTCACAGCAATGTTCCAACTTCTAATCTAAAGCCTTCCCAGAAGAGTAGAGGCTGTTACTGCAGCAAAGAGGGACAAACTCACTATTAATACCCTTCATTTCAGAAGAAAAGCTGGAGGAACAGGTGTCCACAAACTTTTGGACATATAGGGTTCAAACAATGGTGCTCTGAATGTACATAATTAAATTGTGTCGGCGGGTTTGGTCCAGGTTGAGACTTAAAGGGCTCATATTCATCATTTTTGTATGATCATCTTATATCTGTGTGTGTTTATGTATCAAAACATCTTAATTAATGTTTACATCATTTTCCAACCTCTTTTTATCCCTTACAGTTAATCAGGCTGTTTTTTGTTACTGCGCCTTTAAGACTGATATATGCAAATGTGCTCTGTGCTGATTGGCTGCGCCTCATTCAAAAAGTTAGGCTGGGCTAAGACACTCCTTATAACCTCAATATGAATGGGCGGAGCTAAACTGCTGTAGGCTAAATATATGTGAATATATGTGAATGTTGTTGTTTTTGTGACATTACAAACACAAAGAATTCATCGTGGGCTGTTCTAACGGCCTGATTTCTGTCCATGGACTGGAGAGTGAACGGTCCACTTTGAAACTGTAATAATGTTTATATTATATCCTGTGACAGCATATGTTTTTAAACATTTCCATACGTCAGAAGGAGTGTTTCAGCCCTGCTTTTTAAATGAAGGCAGCCAATCAGAACAGAGATCATTTGCACACGTCATTAACAAAAACAGCCTGTTTAATTGTAAGGGATAAAGAGAGGCAGAGAAATGTTCACGTTAAATAAATTATGGTGGTTTTGGGATATATAACATCACACAAATGTCATCAGGGGCCCATGGGGGTAAATAAAATCCAAGAAAAATATGGAATATGGACCCTTTAAGAATATCTGCTTTACCAGCCTCAGAAGCCCCGCCCCTCTGCACTGCTGGACTTGATTGAACAGGTTCAATCTTATTTAAATAAGACTTCAGACGCTGATAAATCTGATTTGTATCTTTTTCTCCCACGTGATGCGAATCTGATCTTACCTTTTTTCATTTTTCCCACAATTGTCTGATCTGATGCTCTTCAATCTGGTGCTGGTCAGCCTCATGAGGCTTAGCCTGTGAGATGCTGACCACTCACAACAGAGCCAAATTAGTGAAATGAGAAGAGCCCTGCATGAAATGTCCTTTTATTTGCTCTCTCCCTCTCTCTCTCTCTCTCTCTCTCTCTATCTCTCTTTCTCTCTCCCTCTATCTCTCTCCCTCCCCCGTCTCTCTCTCCCTCTCTCTCTATCTCTCTTTCTCTCCCCCCTCTCCCTCTCTCTCTCCCTCTCTCTCTCTCCCTCTCCCTCTTTCTCTCTCCACCCCCCCCTCTTTCTCTCTCTCCCTCTCTCTCTCTCCCTCTCTCTCTCCCTCTTTCTCTTTCTCCCTCTCTCTCTCCCTCTCCCTCTTTCTCTCTCCCTCCCTCCCCCCCTCTCTCTCTCTCTCTCTCTCTCTCTCTCTGCAGCCCATCACAGTTAAACTGGCACAGTTGGCTCTGGTCACGGCAAATTTCAGTAAACGCTGAACTGGGATTGAACATGCAGTAGAGCGATGTTAGATAAAATGCAGGCTAGTCTTCATAGTGAAAAGTTTAACCCTTAGAAGTTGCCGATAAAAGCGTGGACTAATTTGATATTAATTAATTCTCACTCGTAGCTCATTGAGCAGAGAAATTGTGTTGAAAGTGCAGATTCTAAACTTTTAATCGAGACCACGTTTGTGTTTGTAAGTAGAAGAGGAGGATCAGTCATGTGCAGAAACCTAGTTGATTTTTGAATGAAAATAAGTTTACAGAGAACACAGAATTTTTAAAATGTTGGTGAAAAAAAGAAATTTGCCTCATTTTATGTTTCAGTTTTTCTCAGATGTGTCAAACTCAGCAAATAAACAGTAACTGCGGAAGTGTGTTCCTCGTAGATGATGTCTTATTTATGCCCATCTGATTGGGGTGCCCAAACTTTTGCAAATCTCTAAATTGTCCAAAAGTTTGTAGACACCTGCTGATCCAGTGTTTTGGAAAAGTTTAAGTGGTATTAATAGGGAGTTTGTCTCCCCTTTGCTGCAGTAACAGCCTCTACTCTTCTGGGAAGTCTTTACTCTAGTTGCTGGAACATTGCTGTGAGGATGGCTGAAACACTCCTTATGACTTCAGAGTGAATGGGTGGGGCGAAACTGCTGCAGGCTGAATAGGCGGATCTATGAATAAATGAGTGACATCACAAAAGCGAAGCTGTTTATGCAGCTCATTTTCCACATATGGACTGTGTTTATATAACACAACCAACTACTTTTCAAAAAAGCAAAGAAAATACAGTTTTTCATGATATGGTCCCTTTAATAATATGACATTCATTGATGCCATGAACGTATGGGAACATAAAAAAAATGCTGTCACAGGATATAATATAAACATTATTAGAGTGTCAAGTGGACCGTTCACTCTCCAGCCCATATAAGGAAATCAGGCTGCTGGAACAGCCCATCTTGAATCCGTTGTTTTTGTGATGTCACAAAAAACAACACATTTACATATATTTACCTATTCAGCCTACAGCAGTTTAGCTCCGCCCATTCACACTGAAGTCATGTTTCGTGTTTCAGCCCGGACTGCTTTTTGAATGAGACACAGTCAATCAGAACAGAGCTCATTTGCATATATCAGTCTTAAAGGCATAGTAACAAAAACAGCCTGTTTAACTGTAAGGGATGAAGGAGAGGATGGAAAATGATAAACATGAATTATGATGTTTGATACGTAAACACACAAACATTTGTTGATGTTGGATGGTCAGTTGTGGATCACTGCAGCTCATCCCAAAGGTATTGGATGGAGCTCCATCACTCCAGAGAACACTCAATTCCAAATTTGATGAATTGTGTACAGTCTTGTTTAGCGGAAAGAGAAAACATCCTTTAGATCACATTTTTACGTCAAAACAAAGGAACAGAAGCCAGAATGCAGATTCAAACCTGAATGTCAACAGTTATATAATTACATGCAATTACGCTGTAACTATATAATAGTTACAATGTAACTATTATCCACTGTAATGATGTAATACTATATAATTACACAATTACTACAGCAAAACACAACTCTAGACTTCTAAGGGATAAACAACACTGAACAGTGTTTGAGTATTTGGGTGCCATTGGGGTTAATCCAATGTGTGGAGCTGTGAGGTGTTTAAACTCTTATTTACTCGTCTTTATCTCAGAAACGAGTTTCCTGCTGGGGAACGCTCAGATCGTGGAGTGGCCGGTGGTCTACAGTAATGACGGCTTCTGCAAACTCTCAGGATACCACAGAGCAGAGGTCATGCAGAAGAGCAGCACATGCAGGTGAGTGTGTCTGTATTTAGCTCTTTGTGGGGACTGAAGGTCTCAAGTTTGACATGGACGTTGGCTCATTTTTCGGATATTAGTCTCATCACCATGAGGAACAATGCTTATCTCCCCTAAAACTGCAGCTTCTATAAGAAGAAGTCAAAGAGGCCAAAGCTGGCCTTTTGATTGCTGTGTAGGTTTGGTTTTGGACCAGCCTGGGCAGTTTTGATCTCTGTTGACCCGTTGGGACTGCTGACTGGACGTTAAAATGCCTGGTTGTATCTCATTCTAAATGCAAACCACTTCTTGAAGTAGAAGTGCTGTTTTAGCCCTGTCATTGCATCTCTCTCTCTCTCTCTCTCTCTCTCTCTCTCTTTCTTGCACACATGCATGTGGGCATTTTAAGTTTTGCTGGGGTTTATTCCACCAATCACAAGCTCTGTAGGCGACCCTGCCAGTCTGCAGTGACAGCAGAGGAGGGTAAAGTTCACCTCACTGCTGGGCTTTAGTTACATTTAGGGAACCATAAGCTTTCAAAGAGGGGCAATTATTTATTATCGCCCACCCCTAATTCTTCAGCGAAAAGAAGCTGAAGTCAGATATTTGTCAGCTTCTCGTTCAAATTTTCTGGCACTTCAGGCATCAGTACTGCTGGACTATTTAAGGTGGAACAGGAAATTTACCTAGCTAGCTACAGAGACATCAGCATACTATTAGCAATGTTTAATGCTTGTTATGAAGAAAAGGACCAAAATACACTGGAACGACATTAAACTAAGATAATACGATGATTATTATAATTTTTTTACAGAGAAAATACTGAAATTTGTGGGTTTCTTGGGTCGTTTGTGCAGACATCTTGTGGGTTTTTCTTTTTTTCTCATATCACTCTGTTTGGAGTCTCTGAAAAACCTCAGTTTGGAGGGCCATGTAGCCCAAACACATTGCCCAACCCCTCCATCTCAACAAAAATCGGGACACCCCCTAGGCATGAACACGTAAAATGGAGGGGTAGGACTAAGTGGTAGGGGTGAGGGGTGTAATGGGATTGGGCCAAAGTGTGTCTGTGTTGAACTGGTAAAACTGTGTTGTTGTAACTGCTGTATTGGCAGGTTAAGCAGTTACTTTATTCACATTTGGACAAGTTAATTAGTAATATCTGCTCTGAGCAAAGCAAAGTGGGTTGTGGCTGCTCCCTCTAATGCTTTCATTTATCTAAGAAACACTTTGTGCTACTTATGTTAAGTATCCATGTGGCAATTGACATACCGTACTGTGCAAAAGTCAGAGACCACCCCTTGGTTATTTAGCTTCCAGCCAAAATGGCCATTGAGTACAGGTTATTCATTTTCAATGTCAGGTAAAGCAGGAAACAAATGTTTAATGGGAAATTATGCAAAAGCCTTAATTAACTCTTCCATCCTTCCAATCCAAAACTGGAGTTCAAAAACTGATTAAAAGCTTCAGAGAAAATGAGACTCCTAACAACCACCTGGAAAAGCTGGTAGACACCAAAACTGTCCCCATCAGATAAACAGCACTGAAAGCTTTGATCTTTGAGAGAGAGGAGAAAATCAAGCAGAAGGCAGTGTGTTCACCGCTGAAGCAGTGAAAGACGCCTCTTAACATGTCTATAACCATCAGTCGAGCACAATGGAGGATCGGTGCAAGTTTGTGGATGTATGGTTGGTGATTTACTTTGATTGAAGGCATCCTGAACACTGATAAGTTTAACCCTCTGGGGTCTGAGATCATTTTCTTGATTGTTGCATATATTCTTAAATATTCAGAACAATTCAGAACAATCTCAGCTCTCTTTATAATGACCTGGAGCACTGAGTAAGGAGATAATTTGGCCCTAAAGCTGAACAACTGAAGTACTGTAAATTCTTAATATCTCTTGTGAAAATATAACTTTACTCATGTGAATGAATTGTTTTGGTGCTTGAAAGTCTTAGGTTCACAGAAGTAGTGGAATGTATGAGTAAAATAGTGGATAAATGTTTCCTCATCACTACTTTCCAAAACCGCTGCAGCAACTTCAGCAATTCCAAACATTTTACACACCATTTCATGTGTGTCTGAGGTGGCTGAACAAAAAACGGAAGGTTTCCAAAGTGAAAGATGAGGACTGAGTAATTTCCTGTGAGTTGATTGGTCAGTTACATGCACAGGAATCCACCAATTACAGGCGAGAGGCAGATAACGGGCACACACATCCACCAGTTACACACAGTGAGAGGCAGGTGGCGTGTGTCTCAACTTATCTTCATTGGCTCATAACTCTGAATGATCTCATGATAAGATGGGATGGAAAAGGTGACTCTACAGATTCAGGAACTGTTTGAACTGTATTTCTGTGCTGTTTTATTGCAAAGATTTTCATGGAAGCACAGAGAAACATCTAATTTGACACACCATCGTTTGTCGATGCCAGAGAGTTAAACAAATTTTAATACATCATGGAAAACATTTGATAAGGAAGAGATTTGGCCTCATTCACCAACCATTCTTAAGAAAAAAAATCTTACACAGTTTTCACCAAGATTCTGACATTGACCAATGTTTTCTTATGTGGTTTAAGATCACGTCATGAATCTGACGTAAACTTTTCCTTTGGACCTTTCTCAAGAACACATTTAAGAAAAAACCCAATGTTTCTACAACAAGATAATGACGCTAAGCACACCGCTGAGATCAAGACATGCTTATCAAAAACAGAAGCTTGTGTTCTCAGAACCTTTTCTTAACCTAGTGCTTTAAAACAGAACAGTAAAATAAAAGCCTGGAGACGAGACGGGGTGTGTGGAGTCAGTACAGCTTAGAACATATCATTTCAGTGGATTATGGTTCAGTTATGTTCCCTGACTAAAGGTACTGAGATGAACCCTTGAGGGTTTCCCCCCAGTGACAGGAGGGGCACTGCCCCAGTGACAGTTTACTACCTTTTTTTAAAGGTAGAGTGACAGACTAAATATTGAAAAGTGTGTTATAATATTTATGTTTTCTGTTTTTTCACACTGAAAAATGAATAACTTGTACATAAAGGCCATTTTAACTGGAAATAGGAAAGGGCAGTTAGTTTCAGACTTCTGCACAGCACTGTATGTCCATATGTTGATGCATGTGCATAAGCTAGACAGGTGTGTCTTGTGTGCACGATGTCCTCGTTGCTGAGGGCTCTTAGTGTAAAATGACCCCTGTGCGGTTTCCATGGAGAAATGTTTCTATAGGGGTCATTTGGCTTAATGCCTACATGGAAAACAAAGTGAGAAAATACAGTATATTCATCTGAATAAACATGTCTGCCACTGTTTTGGTTCAGAAGCTTGTTTCATCTGCATTAGTCATTCTCTCTCATCATTCATTCAGGTTATCTGTGGTCATATTCTATAGAGAAGTGGTGACCATCGTGTCTACTGGGTAAATTACTTATGAACTGACTGTCAAAGACACTGCTTGGTGTCTGCAGCTTATTTCAGAGTGTCTGTACAGATGAGTCATGCTAATGTGTGTTAGTGACCCAGACAAGACGGGTTGGACTTCTTAACCCTTTAAAAATGTGGCTATTTCTGCTGTTTAATCTGCTCTTCTCTGTTATTCACATGATTTTCCAGTGCTGTCGTTTGTTTGATGGGTAAAGAATCTGATCTAACAAAGCCAGGAATGTATAGATTTTTATTCAGTCTGTCTCACTTACTTACTTTTTGAACATGTAAACACATGAATAGGAGTACACTATATAGAAAGAAGTATTGGGACACACCTCCTAATTATTGAGTTCAGGTGTTTCAGCCACACCCATTGCTAACAGGTGGATCAAATTAAGCACATAGCCTTGCAGTCTCGACAGACAAACACTGGCAGTAGAAAAGCATGCCATCACTGGATTCTGGAGCAGTGGATTCTGTGGAGTGACGAATCACGCTTCTCTATCTGACCGTCTGATGGACGAGTCTGGGTTTGGCGAATGCCAGGAGAACGTTACCTGCCTCACTGCACTGTGCCAGCTGTAAAGTTTGGTGGAGGAGGGATGATGATATGGGGTTGTTTTTTCAGGGGTTGGTCTAGAATCCTTAGTTCCAGTGAAGGGAAGTCTTAATGCTCCAGTAGACCAAGACATTTTGGACAATTCTATGCTTCTAACTTTGTCAGAACAGTTTGAGGAAGAACCTTTTCTGTTCTAGCATGACTGAGGACCAGTGCACAAAGCAAGGTCCATAAAGGCATGGCTGGGTGAGTTTGGTGTGGCTCTGACCTCAACCCCATTGAACACCTTTGGGATGAACTAGAACAGAGATAATGAGCCAGGCCCTCTCGTCCAACATCAGTGTCTGACCTCACAAATGCTCTTCTGGATGAATGGGCAAAAATTCACATAGACACTCTCCAAAATCTTGTAGAAGCTTCCCAGAAGAGTGGAAGCTGTTATAGCTGCAAAGGGGGACCAACTCCATATTAATGCCTATAGATTTAGAATGGGATTCATAAAAGCTCCTGTAGGTGTAATGTGTGGGTGTCCCAATACTTAGTCCGTATAGTGTATGTTAAACACCAGTCACTTGTTTTGTTAAACAAATAAGAAGCTCTTACTGATCTAAATGGTGCTCTGAATAAGTTTGTGCGCTCAGTGCATCCAACAGTAAAGGAAGCCTTGTGCATGTTTTACACAGTGATAGGAAAGATGGCAGCACTCTATGGATACACCGATCAGGCATAACATTATGACCACCTCCTTGTTTCTACGCTCATTGTCCATTTTATCAGCTCCACTTACTGTATAGGTGCACTTTGTAGTTCTACAGTTACAGACTGTAGTCCATCTGTTTCTCTGCATACTTTGTTAGCCCCCTTTTACCCTGTTCTTCAGTGCTCAGGACCCCCATGGACCCTCACAGAGCAGGTACTATTTGGGTGGATGATCATTGTTAGCACTGCAGTAACACTGACGTGGTGGTGGTGTGTTAGTGTGTGTTGTGCTGGTACGAGTGGATCAGACACAGTAGTGCTGTATAGTAAGTGGAGCTGATAAAATGGACAGTGAGCATAGAAAAAAGGAAATGGTCATAATGTTATGCCTGATCGGTGTATCCTGTGGCCAATATGTACACACATACACTGTAACTCTTCTGGCCTCAGATTTAAACAGGTTTAAGATGTTATCAGCAAGTTCTCAGAATAGATCTGCGTGAGACGTTCGGCTTCATAGAGTTAAAGCACAGAAGATCATTATGATCATATATGCTGTACTTATGCAGGTGTTGATTATTTTTTGTGGTGCTGTCTTGATTCCCGTATGAATTGTAAATGTAAATGTTGCCACTGTTTTGCTTCAGATTTACACACATTCTCCTTTGATTGTACACACACAACAAAAATGAAACCGATGAATAACAAAACGGTTGGTGAAATTTGTGTCGGCTCATTTTACGATCATATTTGACTGTATGCAACTTTGATGATTAAAGACCAGAGGGAATTAGCCTGGTCAGGACGCTCTCAGCGCACAGTGCAACAACACTGACAAGCTAAAGGCCTCCTGTGTGTGTTGCAGTCTTCTGTAACATGAGTATTGCAAAGGCCAATATCGTGATAACGATTAAAAATTAGACATTGTGCAGTTCTAATCCCAAACTTAATCTCACTGTATTTGTATGCCAGATGAATTCAAATAGACAGATTAACTTTCTAACCATCTTTCAGTCGTCTATGGGGGAAGATCCAAATAAAGAAGGACCCTTAGTGCTTGTCTTTGAGATGGTGACAACTGTGACAGCTCTCTGCACGAACACACGAAACAAGACCCGCTTGAGTCTCAACAGCAAGCAGCGCTTATTTTAACTGGTTTTGATTTCAGTGTGAGCTTCAGTTCCCTGCCAATCCAGCAGGATGATCAAAATAATGGTTTCATCTATTTAAACTCTTTAAACCTGACACAACTCAGCAACCCTAAGGGCGCTAGCTTGTTTGTTGAACAAACACTGAGTGTGTTTACATGCACTCGATAATACGATAACTGCATAAACATTCTGATTTTGTCAGTGATGCGATCAACGTGTTTACATGCACTTAAGTAATCAGATAATGGGGAAACTCCGGGTCTACATGAGTCAGACAGTAATCAGTTATCTGCTTTACAACCAGCCAATAAACTCACAGAAGAAGACATCATGTAAACGTAACGTAAAACTCCGATTTCACTTTATCTGAAAATATGAACATACATCATCTAGAAGATGAAGAATATTTAAATCCTTCATTTCGTCGAGCATGTAGTCGGTTTCAGCATCACTTCAAAAGTGTTTTGCTGCGTCTCGCGGCAACGCCTCTTACTTCCGGTACCGCCGTCTGTTTTCGTACATGTGCAGACTGAGAAGTTCGAAAGAAATCAGAGTAAGAGTTTACATGCACTGAGAAATCTGATTACTGAGCTAAAATCCAGCTCTCTTTATCAGATTTGTGAATCAGATTTCTAGACCTTACTCTGATCTAAGAAATCAGAGTGTGCTGTTTACATGACCATTTGAATAATCAGATTAGAAATCTGATTATGATCAGATTACTGAGTGCATGTAAACACTCTCACTTTGGTGAAATGTCAGATTAACATGGGTTTTCTTTTATCCCAAATGTATATAAATGTTTACAAAAGTATAGACAAAATGTAGGCCTCAAACTGGCAGTTACTACTGTGTTTAGCTGTGTTTAACACACTTTTGTCCATGTTTATAGTTAAAAGTGTGTCATACAGTGTCAGATTACTTAATTACAAGTGTATGATGAGGCATGCAGTTAGCACAATGCTAATTGGTTCAACATTAACTTTGTAGCTCCAGTGCCAAACTAAGGAAGCAAACTGGACACAAAACATGTCTTGACTGTTTACATTTTCATGGTCAGATTTGTTTTCCTCCTGAATGAGGAGAATGAGTTCAGAAGACAATTTTAATTTGATTAAGTGACCCTTATTAATCCCACAACGGGGCAATTTCACCTCCGCATTTAACCCATCCATGTAGTGAAACACCACATACACACTTGTGAACACACACACAAGGGGACAATGAGCACACTTGCCCGGAGTGGTGGGCAGCCCTATCCACGGCGCCCAGGGAGCAGTTGGGGGTTACGTGCCTTGCTCAAGGGCACTTCAGTCACACACTGTCAGCTCAGGGGAATCGAACCAGCAACCTGCTGGTCACAGGGCTGGTTCTCTAACCTCCCACCCATGACTACCACCTTGAAGCCCTTGAAGTCTTCAGTGCAAATTATCTCGATATAACATTATAATAACTCCTTTAATTCTAACACTAAAAAGTGCAACTTAATCTACTCTTTACCAGCCATAACATGATGTTTCAGTGCTGTTGTTGCATTTCATTTATATTCTTGTTAGCTAGATCCTTGAGAAAGGTGCTTCTTGAAAGGTTCTTCAGTGAAAGCAACGAACAGTTATATATAGAACTTGACAACTCAAAGCAGGATGCTGTTCTTCAGTGGTCAGGACCCCCATGGACCCTCACAGAGCAGGTACTATTTGGGTGGTGGATCATTTTCAGCACTGCAGTAACACTGACGTGGTGGTGTGTTAGTCTGTGTTGTGCTGGTACGAGTGGATCAGACACAGCTGTGCTCAAAAAACACCTCAGTGTCACTGCTGGACTGAGAATAGTCCACGAACCAAAAATTTCCAGTCAACAGCCTCCTGTGGGCAGCGTACTGTGACCACCAATGAAGGACTAGAGGACGATTAGCTCATACTGTGCAGCAGCAGATGAGCTATCGTCTCTGACTTTACATCTACAAGGTGGACTGACAAGGTAGGAGTGTCTAATAGAGTGGACAGTGAGTGGACACAGTGTTTAAAAACTCCAGCAGCACTGCTGTGTCTGATCCAATCGTACCAGCACAACACACACTAACACACCACCACCACGTCAGTGTAACTGCAGTGCTGAGAAAGATCCACCACCCAAATAGTACCTGCTCTGTGAGGGTCCATGGGGGTCCTGACCACTGAAGAACAAGGTTTGACAACTCAAAGCGGGACCTTTTAGCGTCTGTGTGTTTGTATAGAGTCATCATTCTCACCCAATACCAGTATAAACACATGCTCTCTCTCTCTCTCTCTCTCTCTCTCTGTCTAGTTTTATGTATGGTGAGCTGACCGATAAGAAGACTATAGAGAAGGTCAGACAGACTTTCGATAACTATGAGTCCAACTGTTTCGAAGTTTTGCTCTACAAGAAGAACAGTGAGTATATCGTACACCCCACACAGACTTACAGTGAGTAATGAACTCTCAATAAAGCACTGAATTCACTTCATTCATGTTTACATTATTTCCACATTAATTAAATTCATCAGCACAGTCACTGCTGAGATGGCGGGAGCTGGAAGAAGCACTGCTGATGTAACAGAAACATGCCATAAACGAGTCATGAGAGATGTCATGATGTTTGATGTCACTGTGTTTAAATATACTCTTAAAAAATATGGTCCTTCAAGGGTTCTTTAGTAAAGACACTGGTTCTATGTGGAACCATGAGCACTCAAAGAACCATTTGCATGATTAAATGGTTCTTTGCATTGTGAAATGGTTCTTCAGATTGATGGAAAACGTGCTATAGATGGTCCTATATAGACCCTTTTTTAAAGGGTTCTATATAGCACCAAAAAGGTTCTTCTATTGTTATAATATCAAGCTTGTTACAATAGAAGAACCCTTTTTGGAGCTATATAGAACCTTTGAACCATCTACAGCCCATTCTCTATGGAAAGAACCCTGTAATCATGCAAAGGGAGTGTTCATGATTCTATATAGGACCATTTTCTTTACTAAAGAACCCTAAAAGAACCATTGTTCACCAATTCCTTAAACCCAACAGTTGGGTTGTTAATTTACAGATATTGTCTGTAATTTTACAGATTTTGCATACAATAAAAAAAAACAGTAAACTACAATAAAAACTTAGTTATTTTGCATAACATGAGGACTTTTTTACAGTGTGAACCTCAGATACAAGAAAAATATAGGATATTGACTTTAAATAAATGAAGGGTGGTCTCTGACACTGCGCAGTGAATTACATTAACATGTACATTTATATTCTGTTTATATTCTGACAGGTATGAGTATATACCTTTGATCTTTTCTTTGTTTTGATGTGAAAAAAATGACATAATTGTGACAAAAATGTAAAAGGTGTTTTTTATTTCCGCAACACAAGAACGTAGACAGAGAAATAACTTTTCATCAAGTTCAGATCGTAATAAAATAATAAAATGTCTCCTCTTCTTATAAACACAAACGTGGTAAGTATCGAGAGTTTAGAATCTGCACTTTCTACACAATTTCTCCACTTATCATAATAAGCCACAGGTGAGAAACTATCTACTAATATGAAATTACAGCATGCTATTGTTACTGCTAGTGGTTTCTATGGGTTAATGGAAGCTGATTGTCTGCAGAGCTTCACTCACATCGTTTCTGACAGCCTGAGTGAGTCTGACATCAATCATGATGAATCTGTCATCAACAGCAGCCCTGAGCTGCGGGGAAACTCATTAGCTCTCAGTGTAATATACTTACAGAAAGCCTCTCTAATCATTCAGCTCTGAGTTATCTCAGTAGATTTACTGCGTTACGTTTGATGTTCTGCTCTTTGACATTTGTCAGGAACCCCGGTGTGGTTCTACATGCAGATCGCACCAATCAGGAACGAGAACGACAAGGTGGTGCTCTTCCTGTGCACGTTCAAAGACATCACTGCTTTCAAACAGCCCATCGAGGATGAGAGCACCCGAGGTGAGAACATACAGCATCGTGGGCAAAAGTTTGGGTGCCTATAATTGAACTGACATGATTTGTTGATATTCTAAGTGAAAAGTTTACAGGTAACACATTTAAACACACAGTTATGGTTTATTTACTGAGAAAAAAAACACAAAGTGTGACCTGTGCAAACATTATAGCACATTTTCTAAATGTAATATTTTTTTCCCAAAACATTAAACAAAATGACTTAAAATTCTGTGCTAAAATTAGCAGAAAATGTCATATTTTTTAATGAAAAATTATTAACAAAACATGTAATTTAACCAGGGTGTTCAAACTTTTGCGTATGACTGTACATGCATACGTGGGTCATTCTACCAAAATAGGACAGAGTCCCTTGCATTAGGACCATTACACAGTTAAAAATGTTAAAACTGTGCATATTTTAACCCTCTATTGCACGACGTTGCCTCAAGGCAACAAACCCATTTTCCTCACTTCACACTAACATTATACATATTTAATGACAATGACAGGGTTAATAAAAAAGGGAAGAGTTTGAGTAAGTCAAGAAAAAGCATGCATTTGGTCATACTACGTCTTAGTGGACACTTTTAAACCTCTTCATTAACATTCAGTATCTTTTTTTTTGTTATGATAATTTGCAGAAGTATGTTTGTTGCCTAGAAGCAACAGTTTAGCGCAGTGGAATGGATTTAGCCAGTCACAAGCCTGATCTCACCTCTTCAGGGAACATGGATCTATATCATTTCATCCCATTGTCGCACTATGTTCCTTCAAGGCAACATACTTCCAAAGGATCCCTGCGCACATTATTATGTGTTTTGGAATTTAATAATCACGTTGATTTTAGGCAAGAAAAGCTAATTGAATATATTTTTTTAAAAATTGCTCTCATAATATGTGCAGTAGAGGGTTAAAAACAACTTTTTTAAATGATAAATGTTTCACTGTTTTCAACAATTCAACAATACTTTTTACAATTAATTTATTATTGTATATTATGTATTATTATGGATTTAATCAATCAATCATTTTTTTAATCTAATTAAAACCTGTTATTACTTTTGAAGACGTTAAACTGTCCTCTTTTGCTATGAACAACCAAATTCAACAATACGGTGTAAAAATTCATATACTGTATTTGAAAACACACATTTTCTAAGCCGCTTATCCTTCTGGGCAGTATTTGAAGACTGCTGTTCATTTATAGAAACAGAATGTAAATTCACAAAAACAAATGATCAGCTTTTTTAAACAGACATTTGTGTCTGATTTAATGTTTTTTACTGTTACTGGTGAAATATTGTATATCACAACTAGTTGAACTAGTGAAACATTTGGAAGGCAATATTTCTAAGAAATGTAAATGTTGTCATTTTGCAGATTTTTACTCTCCTTAAGAAAATATAATTTTAATGGGTTTAATCTGGCGCCCCTGTGGTCGGACTTTTTACCTGTTTTAATAGATTTAATTTTTATTGTGTAGTAAAAAAACTTCTTAAGTAACATTTTCTTTGTGTCCTCAAACTGAAGAAAAGTCCACCCTGTTACTTTACCTTGCACATATCTGATTTTACAGTGTTTCATTTTACAGTTATGAAATTAGGATGACCCACAGGAAATTACATTGGTTTGGTGCAAGAATCCTATTTCTCTGGATTTTTCATTGTTGTCGTCGCTTGGTTGTCAACATGTCAACCCTGCTACTTTAAATTAACTATTAATTTATTAATTCATGTATTATTTTCCATACATAATTAAAAAATACTATGATCACCATGTCCTCTAATGGCTTTCAACACTACTGAAATAATAACCGCTACCATTAGCCCCAAACCAAAGCTAACAGGCCTGATCTCTAAACATTTTTAAAAAGTTTGAAAAGCAAATTGTCCACTTTTTTGCTGAGTGACCCTCACAAACACACCTCTTACACACTTACTCGCACACTTTTAAGTTATTTACATGTGAATATTGTGCATAACGCCCAGTATGTATATGTGTATAAACTATAACACTTCGATTTCCCACCATATTGAGTGCAATATCTGGATTATACAGTTTCATTATTCCTATTTATTATTAGCTTCTGGGTCAATGATGACACAAAAAGTATTAAAAAGAAAGTTTGTTTACATTCCATATAGAAATGTCCATAATTAAACAGTCTATATGCAGATCTTGTTGCTAAGCAACACCACTCAATCAGCAGACTATCCTTCAGTGATGACGGTACATTTACTTGATGACGAGGTTGCATTGAACTTGTTACTTTACTTCAGGGCTGTTATTTTTTTTTCTATGGCTGGTGGTTGTTGCTAGGTTACAGGCTAATAAAGAGATTTAAAAAATGAGGCTGATATTGGAACTCATACAGTTCCTGTCAGCCAATCACAAGTACATTATATTTAGGTTAATAGTGCATTAATGCAACCCCATTTCCAAAAAAGTTGGGACGCTGTGCAGAATGTAAATAAAAATAGGATGCAATGATGTGCAAATCATGTAAAACATGTTTTTAAAGGAAAATACTACAAAGACAACACATCAAAAGTTGAAACTGAGAAATTTGATTGATTTTTGAAAAATATATGCCCATTTTGAATTTGATGCCAACAACATGTTCCAAAAAAGTTGGGACGGGGGCCTGTTTACCACTGTGTTTCATCACCCCTTCTTTTAACAACACTCTGGAACTGAGGAGACACTGCTGACGTTTTGAAAGTGAAATGCTTTCTCATTCTGGTTTGATGTAGGATTTCAGCTGCTCAACAGTTCGGGGGCTCATTTGTTGTATTTTTTATTTCATAATGTGCCAAATGTTATTAGTGGCGACAGGTCTGGACTGCAGACAGGCCAGTTTAGCACCTGGACTCTTTTAATATGGAGCAATGCTGCCGTAATACATGCAGAATATGGTGTGACATAGTCTTGCTGAAATAATCAAGGCTTTCCCTGAAAAAGACGTCGTCTGGATGGCAGCATATGTTGCCAAAAAATGAATATATTGTTCAACATTAATGGTGCCTTCACAGATGTGCACGTCACCCAATAGTATCACGTCAATCACGTCAATAGTATGTTCGGATGAAGCTTATTGATGACGTGATACTATTGGGTGACGTGCACATCTGTGAAGGCACCATTAATGCTGAACAACATTTACATGTTTTGGCAACATATGCTGCCATCCAGACGACGTCTTTTTCAGGAAAAGCCTTGATTATTGTCTACTCGCACATCTATAACAAAATAAACTGCTTTGTAAATGGAAAAAGTTTCAAATTTGAGCAGGTAGACAAATGTGATTAAACGTGATTAACATCATCACAGTAATGTGATCAATATTCATTTCTAATAGTTTGACAGCTGTTCTACTGTATCTTATACCGCCACATTGTCTCGTATCACACATCCAATGGCAGTTAATTCAATCCTCCAACTTCCTGTGTACACATGCACACACACTTTCTCCCTGAGGGTCCGTCTGTCTCCTGTGGGACTCCAGCTCAACATGTGATACACACGCATCACTCACATGTGGAAGCCGCATGTGAGTGCTGTGTGATGGAAGACTCTCAACAATAGAGCAGTAATACTACATCGCTGCACAACCTGATCTCAATCAGTTACCAATCATTTTGATGCGTTTCCCTGTATTTTCCCCATAGATCAGGTGTCCAAGCTTTTTTTAAAGGGGGCCAGGATGGACCTTTTATATAAATACCTGAGGGCTGGTCATTCTTTGCCAGAATGTTAGTCATAAATAATTTGAAATACAGCGTGATTCAAAAATATAAATCCGATTTCAAAATGATTTATTTCACTTGTAAATCAATGCAGTAAACTGTAAATGGTTTAAGTGAGCATAAAGTTTATTATGTAATTTTACAAGTGCTCAACCTCCTCCAGCTGTACAGACAACATCAACACCATAGTCAAATTCATCCCATACTCGACTGAGCATGTGGGGTGTTGCTGCACTCACGGCTCTTTCAGTGCGATTTCGGTGATCATCCAGTGTTGTGATTGGTTCCTAGGCGCCTCACAGTTGTAAAAATATGGCGCTTTGAAATCGGATGAATCTTTTCGAACCAACCTGTATTCTGTAATCAAATATGAAAAACACAAACATACAGAAAAAGTTATATTTATTGTACAAACTACTGAATTTGTTCTGATAAAAAATTGCTTTAGTTTTTTTTGTCTTAAGTCCATCATGGATTTTAAGGTGAAGTGCATTACAGTCTCTTGACATTTGAGGCACACATTTGTTACGGCTCTTGACGAATAAAGTGATGCTCTTGAAATTGCCGGTTGTCACTGTCAGCTGTAGTTATGACTGAATGTCATTTAGTAAATTAATTTGCAGGTTAAATAAATTAAATTAATTAATGTTTACAGCACTGCAGTCGCCATAAAATGAATAACGAATATCGGAACGTATAGGCCGGAGGGCCGGTTAAAATCAATCTGTGGGCCACGTCTGGCCCTGGGGCTGGACTATTATTGGTGAGTTTTGAGTCAGTAGGTTTTCTGTTCTTTTCTAAGTCTGGGAAACATGAAACTACTGTCGATGGTACAGATGTGGCGCATGGAGAGCAGATTAAAAAAAGCTGGAGCATTCCTTTAAAGGTGGCCTTAGGAGAGGCTTCCATCAGGACTTCAGGCTTCTCTATGACTTTGTCAGAGCCTCAGAACCTTCCCAAAACTCCTGCATTCAGACGTTTACCCAGCAATGTCATCAGCAAGAAAACAATAGTACCAAACAGGCATTGACTGGTCTGCTGGCTATGTTTGAGCTGATGAGGAGAGACAGTGCTTTTCATATATCAAAACACTGACGCTGCTGTGTGTGATCTGTCAGGAATAGCAGCTTTTGTTCTGAAGGCCATGGGGGTCACTCAGCTTTCTTATTTGATGTTGTGTCTAAAGGCAATATTTATGGATGCCGTAACAACGAGCTTGCAAAGGTTATCACCCTTTGTACTGTAATGATTTCTTCA